TTATTTTTATGGCGTGTTCTTTATCTGGTATATGTACATTAAGTATAGATAGATAAAAATAAAGAAAACATTTCTTTATAACTGTATCAGTGTTGCAACATTTCAACATAGCGTTTTATACAATGTCTAAATAAAATGAATTTATCGTGACTAAAAGCGTATTATTCACATATTAAAATAAGTAAATGTAATATACTTTAAATGTTGCTTATATATATGCCAAAGCACGGAATTCACAAAATAGAAATATGTATTGTGTTCATGGATGCTGACGAGGCTTTAACCATTCTTCAAATTACTGTATGTAAATTATAGTACACGTATATATGCTAGCACAGAAGTACAAGTACTGTGTTAATCTGTGTGTAGAACCTGTACATAGAAGAACGAAGTTTTATAACCAAATACCATTCAGGTACAGTATACAAGTTTTACCTTTGTATCTAAAATATTTCAAGGCTTCCAAGAATACATCAAAAGGATATACGGCGGTAGAATACTTATACACAACACACGCTATATAAAGTAATTTAAAGGTATAACAATAATGAAAACAAGAGTGGCAAATGGGTTTAGGAGTTCCTTTATGTGGCAGATGGGTTTTGGAATTCCTTTATGCTACCCGGCGATATATTTCAGCGGTGTTGTTTACGTTTTTGTTCTGGCTTCATTTAAACTGGTTTACCATGTTTTCAGAACCATTTCCTTCCGTTCTTTATAGAGATTTAAATGAGCAATTAGGTAACACAAAAAAACATACAACGCTTGTTCGACACAAAGCTGCATCTCTTATTGGCACAAACAGACATCTGGAGCGCTAAAAGCACTAAAAATGAGGTTATTGTATATGCTCGTTATGTGGTGATAAAGTACAATTCCATTAAAAAACAACAACTTTGATCGCTTTAATCATTAATATTATACATAAGAATATTAGGCAAATCATCGCTTTAATCATTAATATTATACATAAGAATATTAGGCAAATCATCGCTTTAATCATTAATATTATACATAAGAATATTAGGCAAATCATCGCTTTAATCATT